AAAAAAAAAAAAAAAAAAAAAAGGCAGTGGCAGATCCCTGGCCATACTGTTAATACATTGAGGGGAGCGTTGTCCCTGGGGCTGTATCAACAGTAAACTCTCAAGAGACATCTATGCAGTGATAACTAAATACTTGGTTTCTCATTGAGCTGAGGACAAGAACTGGGCTATTTTGCTTCAGCTGATTTAAAAGGCCCCGTGCAAATGCAGAGGATTTGGTGTCAGGGAAGGAGTGTGTGAACCCCCTCCTGCACCATTAGCCTGGACATCTCTTCCCTGCTGAGTAGGAGCTACCTATCCCTCTGCTCACCTCACACTCCAATTGTAGGACTAGTGAGGGAAAGGACCTGAGAGGAGCCTGTGCTGTGCATAGGAATATCGTCGGGGTGATCCACCTACATGGTTCTGTTCAGTCCTCTGTCCTCTGAGGAAGCCGATGGCTCCCCATTTCACAGCACAGGAGCCTGAGACCTGGCATATCAGTAATGTGCCTGAAGATCACCCAGTTCATGAAGGAGCCTAGAACAGTGACAGTCACAGAAAAGGTGCTTGACGAAAGCATGCCCTGAGGTGAGAGGGTCGCCTATGCTATCTGCGCCCAAGTGGGCAGGTTTTGTACCTCCTGGAGGCTGACAGAAATGAGGCAGGCAGTTTAGAGATCCTGCAGTAAGGGGCTCTGGTTCCAGTTCAGGCATCTTCCTTGCTCCAGCTCAGCAGGCAGGCAGAAGCAGCCTGAGGCAGTGCTAAATGTCACCAGATGCTAGGGAGCTCGGGCCTCTGCCAAAGCAAATGCCTTTGTCCCTGGGCAATTCTCACCCTCACCCTCACCTTAAGTCCCCTGGGCGGGCACATCCAAAGGTCTCCGTGTCAGAGGGATTCCAGTGCCACCTCTTTGAACACCATTCAGCAGGTGAACAGGAAGCCCACATCTCCTCTTTCATGGGTTTGTCAATCCCCCACTGCCCAGTGTCTGTACACCTCTCTCCACCCACCCCACCCTCTCTGGCCAGCCTGACCCCTCCCTTCTGCTGCCTCATAGCAATTCAGTTACTAGCAGACAGACATGGTACTAGGCAACAGCAACACAAACAGGACCACATACACCCAGTCTCTGCCCTCCAAGAGCTTTAGGTGAGACACAGGCAATGCCCAAATTAGGAAGTGTCCATGCCAGCCATGGGGGGGGGCACAAGAGAGGGATGCCAGAGCCAGGCTTAGGGATCATGGAAGGCCTCCTACTGCAGGGACAACTCAGCAAAAGACTGAGAATGAGTGGGAGGACGTTGGTTAGTGAGATGGGCCAGGAATCATGTTAGACAGAGCAATACTGTTCACGTCCATCGTTAGAGCTCACCCGGCAGACAGCAGTGTACAGAGATATCTGCCTGTCTGAGCTGTGAGCTCCAGCAGGCTGGAAGGATATCCTGATTATCTTTGTCCCTGCCGCTCATATCCTGGTGCCTGGTATGGAGTAGGGAAGTGTTCAATAAATGTTAAAGTGGTGAACACACAGCAAAGATGGGGAATCGGTGCCTGGCTCTGTGATTCCTGCAGGATGCAACTGATCAGAGCTGCTCAGGACACAGAGGGTGGGAAGTAGTAGGGACACTGAGGTAGAGTCTGAACCTTAAAACTGGGAGATGTTTTCAGTAGCTACAAGCACTGACCAAACCCACACAACCTTCAGACAGAGTTTCTCAAATTTGGAAAAGGCCCTTTGATTGTTAATAACCAAACACACAAGTTCTTACTAGGACTCGATGACGCGTCCTCCACTTGAGTTCAAAAACATAATTATACTTGTCCAGAACAAAAGAGATCAATCCTAAAAGCAAATTGTTATGAAAACAGAAGGGGGAGGGGAAACTGAGTCCAGAGGCACTTGCCTCTGGCAGCGGGGAGGCAGCCGAGTAGCCCAGCGTGCTGCCCTCTCAGCTCCCTGACTGGGCCCTAGCGTTTAGGGAAGCCAGCTATCTACTTGGGTTGACTTGGATTGGGGAGGAATCTCACCAACCATCTCCAAACATTAGGTTTAACACATTGTCCCCTCCCTGGCCTCAGTTTCCTGTCTGTAAGCAGGAATGTTGTTGACTTCAGATGAACCCTGCAGGCGAAGTGAGGTAGTCTGTATTTGAACATCAGCTTTGCTTCAACCAGCCCCGTGACCTCAGACAATTATTCAAATTCTCTCTGCCTCAGTTTACTGACATGTAACTGGGGATAACTGTGCTTACCTCTAGGATCACTTGTAAGAACTAAAAGAGATACTACTGGGAATGTGCTCAACACAGAGGTGCACAGTAAGTGATTTTATTACCATCTTCTTGGGAATCCCAAGACTGTTGCAGCCACAGGATACCAGGGGTTTTCCACAGCAGAAGGGCAGGATTTGATGAGGGAAAGCTAAAGGGAAGACTATGGGCTCACTGAGCCTGTGGAGGAGGCCGAATTCCCCGAATGAGCCCCGAGGAACAGGGAGAAAGTCCGGGACTTCCCTCTCCACTCATGGGAGGGGAGGGGAGGGGAGATTCTTCTCAAGTCAGGAAGTGGGTTTCCAGGGCCCCAGGGATGGGGTCCCAG